TACCTGCAGAACCCACCTCATCAGTGAGAAATGCACGTTGCTGAATCATCAGGTCCCCAGTTGTGGGCGGGTTTTATTTCTGAGCAGGGGCAGTTCTGAAGCATATGTGCAGCCAATTCCCACATTTTTCCTGGTGCAAGAGCAGATCTTGGAGTTCTAATAGCCCTTAGATTTCAAAAAGCATGTTTGTGCACATTGCTATAGCTATGCATCATTTAGCATTTCTGCTAACCCTTCTTTTGTCAAGATGTGAAATAAAAAACCTTGCAAGATTTCTGAGATTACAAAAACAAAGTAGTTGGACTACTTACTTTTCTATAGTTCGACAACTAGACTAGAGGAAAACACTCCTGCAGCGTGGCCTAGGACTTTTGCTAGAGTAAGTACAATTGAATGCATTCTTAACAAGTATGGTTTAGATAGGAGTAAAACAGCTGAAGATAGTCTAGAAAGTAGATGTATTGATATAGAGCACCGAATGGGAATACTTCAGAAGACTTGACAGTTGTATGTTGTTGTTATTTTTATGTCAGGAACCAGTTATGGAAAGCTATTTTGAGTTTATTCAACTGGCTTGTTTTTGCTCTTTTAAGACAAATTTAGGATTTTTTGTGATCAGTGGCATCAAGAGGATTTGGAGCCCTGCTGAATGAATGAAGAATAGAAGCACAGTGTGACCTACATCTTTGTTCAGTTAGATGCCACTTGGGGTCTTGTGAGATATCGGCAGAATGCTAATTGTGAGCCAGTCAAACAGTCTGGCTCGTATCTGGAGGATTTGCTTTCAGTTGAGGACATGCCAGAGATTAGTTTGTAAAGTACTGAAGTGTCTGTCAAGGTTGACACAAGTACCTCTGTGTCCTGGTTTTGGCTGAGACAGTGTTGATAGCACACCAATGCTTGGGTTGTTGCTGAGTGATGAGAGCACACCTGCCAGCCTGCTGGCAGGGGAAGAGCCACTGTCTTTATAGCTCAGCAACAAGGGACAGGGCAGAGCCAGGGCTGCTGGCCTGAATTAGGGGAAGGGTTATTCTGTACCACATGGCATCGTGCTGTGGGGAGGGCATTGACTGGGCAGGGCAGCAGTCAGCGGGTAGTGAGACGTTGTGTTGACAGTGGGGCACTGGTTGGCAGGCAGTTGTATTGTTAGCTGGGCATCAGTCAGTGGGTGGTGAGTAATTGCATTATGGATGGGCATATGTATTGGTTATCACCACATTTTTTTGTTTCCATTTTCCTTTTCTGTCTTACTAAATAGTTTTTATCTCAATCCACAGGTTCTACTTCGTTTCCAGTTCTCTCTCTCATCCCACTTGTGGGGAGGGGCAGTGAGCAAACGGCACTGTGGTGCTGGGCTGCTGCTGGGACAAGCCACAAAGCCATAAAATCCCACCACCTTACTGTTTGTGCAGGCTTCACAAGGCTCCTGTTTGCAAAATGGGATGTATTTTTGCACTACTGTACAATAGGCTAAACCTTTGGTTGTCTATGCGTGTTTGACACCGTAGAGGCAGCCAATTCTCTAATCTGATCCAAATTAGATATGCTATTTGGATTGCACTTCATAAAAGATTGGATAACTCATAAATGAATAATGTGGGGGAGGAGAAAAGGAGATGATTCTTATGAACAGGTCTAACCAAACAGTTCTTTGAGGAAATGTAATGAGGAGAGAAGGGAAAAAAAATCCCTTGAAAACCAATGTCTGAGTAAAAGGTAGAGAATTATAGGCCTCTGTCCTTTTTCCCCTCCCCTTTCACTCCAACATTTTCTTCTTATCTGCATCCATGATATAATGGAAGTGAGGGCAAATGCACGGTCAGAATTTTGTGTTGGCAGGGTATTTCTTTTATTAAGTGTGAGAAGATAATGCTTTATCTCATCTTGTTCACTTTAATGGAGATAAATAACATCGTTCTGGGGAGTGGACAGAAAGATAAATATGAGAAGGAACTGGAAAGTTTAGGAAGTTGAGGCAGTTCCTCTACAAAGGAGGATGGCAAGTTTTCTATTAAAAAAATCAGAGGTTTAATTAAGAGCTTTTTTTTTTTTTTTCTTTAAGAGATATAAACGTCTTGTTGGTTCTGCATTGTTATTTGTATAAGCCATTTGAATATGGGGATTGTCTTGATAAGTTAGTGTGAGAGAGCAAAGACAACAGTGAAAACAGTGTTGGAAAGCTGGTAGAAAGAAGTACCTAAAGAATGGATTTAAGAAGGTGCACAGAGAAAAGGACTTCAAAAGACAGCAATGACAGAGCTGTTTCAGTAGAAGGTGTCACCTGCTTCCATGCTAGGCAGCCCTTTTCCAGAACTTGGGATGTGAGGGCAAAGGAGCCCCCATATCAGCAGAAAGGGACTGTTTGGTATCTAGACCCTGCGTGACTTGTTGTGCCTGTAAGCACTCTTGACATCGTGATTAGTTTGAGTCTTCGTTAAGATTTTCAATATATATATATATATTTTTCTGATTGGAACTGTGAGAGGGAATATGTCTTTCACAGCCCCATCTCTTGCTACAGTATACTGACACAGCAATCCCCTTGTCTTGTTGGTATTCAGTCTTCCCAGGTTCCCTTGGTCCACAGCCTGTTGTAGGAGGTGCTTGTTGCACAGTTCAGCTGCCAGGTGTTTCACAGCAGCTGCCTGCCAGGCTGTTTTGTCAGGTCTCTGTGTTCTCAGAGCCTTTCTCATGTATTCAGCAACTTGACAAATTTTCTTGGTAGGAGCTTTCTAAAATGATACCATATTGTGTGTAACTTAACATGCTGTTGAACATCAGAATATCTCCTGCTTTACAAGTCCCTGAAGCATTGCCAAGCTCAGAAACCAGAGCAGCTCTAACATGAAGCAATAAGGAATGTAGTGGTTTTTGTAAGGAGCAGCTCTTGTCTGTATTTGTCGTTTTTTTTTTTTTTTCCATGAGATTGAAATGAAAGCAGCTACCAACAGCAGCAAGGAGACTAAGCAGCTGAACTGAGTATTTGTTAGTTCCCAATGTGATCAAACTGTGCTGACTCTGCTGTTGCAATACTTTAATTGTGCTGGTAGCCTTTCAAACTAGAGAAGTGTTGGTCAACTCATATAAATTCTTTGATATTTGTTTTTATTTCTCTTTCTGATTGTATGTTGAGTTTTCAAGCTAGAATTTTATTGCATCAGTATTTGATCTACGGGTGTTCAAATGCTGGGCTCTGTAGAGGGCGAGTGCTTAAGCTGCTCACAGGCATCTTGCAACTACATGCTCCTTGATCTGTGCGTTGTATGTGTTTCACAAAATGAATTTATCCCCAGTTGATGTTTCTTTACAAGAAATATTTGCAAACAACTGGTGGTATCATGCATACCAATGTTCACTGCAAATAAAAGCCCTCTCCAGTCCGACTGCAGTGTGTGATGTTCATCAGCACTGCAGTGAAACTTAGTTTATGGAAATAGTTAATTGTAGTGGATTTGCATATGAAGTATGAGCATGTTTTTTCTCTTTGGAGGAAGAAGTACTCATTTGCATGTCAGAGTGTCATGTTGCTCTTAAAAATTCAAAAGAATATTTTATCTTTAAGCAAGGATGACACAGGATCACATTTTCCCAAGAAGAGGCAGGCTGATGCTGAGTCCCCTGCAGGCTTGCCTTCAGTTTTTGTTTTCTTTTCTTCCCAACAGCCTCTATCAATGCTTTTTGTTATGTAAAATTTTACTGTAATCAAAACATTAGAGACCAGGTATGTCTTGAACTTGCCATCAGGATTATGACATGCCTTCAAGCTGTTTTGCTTTCTGGGGAGGCAGTGGTTGTTTTGAAGGATATTTTGTACCTGATATGAAATTGCTTCTCCAATGGTGGAAACACTGCTGCTAAGAAGAGATATCTTGTGGCCTCAAGGCTAACAATGAAGAGGAGGGGTTAGGCAGCATCTGTGGACAAAGACATGCTTGTGTGAGTTACGAGAACTGGTCCCAGCCTGCACAGGTTCTCCCTGTGTGATGCCCAGACTGCCAAAGTGCACGTCTTGCTGAGCACAGTGCTGACTGTTGCAAAGTTGGTCGGGTTTTGGTAAGATTCTCAGGCAATAGTGGGAAATGTGCTCAAACATCATAGTTCTGAGATAGGTGGTAGTAATGGTAGTAACAGCAGTATCATGGGTCACACAGACTTCTGTTTAGGAGCCTAAAATGGTGGTGGCTTCTGCTTCATAGCATTGAATGGAGGTGAGTGAGCAGCCATGGTGCAAGCCTTAGGATATCTTTGGCTGCGCAGAGCAGAACTGAGCTCTTGTGCTTGTTTCTGCATGCCTGAAGCTCTTGGTGCAAATCAACTGCTTCTAAGTTGCAACTGGGGCAGAGGTGTGAGGATTTAAGTTTTTTTTTTTGTTAATTTGTTTTGATTTTGAAGATATCCTACAATGCATCTTTCCATGTTGCTATGGTGCAACTTGCCTTTTACAATACAAAGCCAAGTCTGTCCCTTAAACAGACTAACAGCAGTTTGATTTTTTTGTATCTTTAGCACTAACAACTTTTAGATTTAGAGCCAATATTTTATTTGTGCAAGACTCAGAACTTGACAAAACACACCCCCTTAGCCAACAGATTCATTATTTACCATAGCAGGCATTGCTATAGAAAAGCAACTGAGGATCTCATGTTTCAGAAGAAAGTATAAATGTTATCAGACGTAACCATCAGATACTCTTTTTAGGGAAAATTGTGTCATGCCTAAGGGTAAACATGCTTGTGATTCCATTGGTTCTCACTCACACAGTTGTGTGAGAAATTCTTGTTAAGTGTAGGTGTATGGAAACAAGCAAGTATGTAAATCTGTGTGTTTACATGTTTGTCGAAAAGTCAAGCATTCTAATTCAGTTGGCATTTGTTATACTTCTGGGTTATGATTCTGTATGTCTCTTGAGTCATGTAGGTGGTACTGGTGAAGGCTTCTGTGCTTTGCTAACTTGGACATGTCCTTTGTTTTCTTTTTTGATCCTTCACCCTCCCCCTTAGAGTAATAAATGCTGGGAAGAGCACACACAATGAAGATCAAGCCAGCTGCGAAGTCCTCTTTGTCAAGAAGAAAACTGGAGGCCCTAATTCTACACCAAACAAGAACTCAAAACGGAGATCATCACTCCCAAATGGAGAAGGGCTCCAGCTGAAAGACAATTCGGTAAGAAGACTTCTGAATCTTGTCAGTAGAAAAGTACAAAAGAAATATAAAAGGATGTGATGTTATGACAGTGACAGAAGAACTCTAAATGTTTCATGCATTCCCATTATGTCCTATTAACTACCTTTGCATAAATACAGAATGCTTAGCTTAGCTACATTTTTCTTAGCTCTACTATTTCATTTTTAATTCCTTGCATTGGAAAATGCTGTTTACATCTAAGATATTTTTGTTTAAATATTCAGAGGACAGTTCTCACATTTTCCTTTTCATTTCTGAAAACAATCATGAGAAATTTACTGCTTCAGAGTACTGTGAGATTAATGGCTGTGTTTAAGTTATCCAGTGAAGGTCACTGCAAGGATAACAGCATCGCTGTTTGTTTAGTCACACAATTTTATGAAGTGTTGAACTCTTCCTTTGGATTCTACTTACTGAAGCAGTATTGCTTATCATAAACTTGGTTTAGATAGGTAGGTTAAGGTCCTCCAGCACCCTGAATTCAGTGATCACTGATCGTATCTGTATATAGGGAGAGTGATGCCATGTACGCTCTGTTAGAATCATCGTCTGTTCATCTGTTTTGTTTCTGGACCTGTTATTTCATTTGTTCTTTAAGCATGGGCTCAGGCTCCAGGAATGTTTCATACTGTGTATTAAATTCAGACATTTAGCTCTCTCAAAATGCCCTGTCTGGGTGTTGAAGATGAACAGTGTGAATAACCATACATTCTCTCTTCTGTTAGGAGAACACCACTTGTCCCTAGGTGCTAACTAGTCCTTCACTGGCCTATAAATACATGCTTTTTTTTTCTCTTTTCTACTTTTTTTTTAACTTTTTTTTTTTTTTTTTTTTAAACTGGGTTGTGATTACTGGTGTGCTTCAGTTTGTCTCTCACAACCCCATGGCTCAGTGCACCTGATGTCTGCAGAAGTCATTGATGTCCTGAGAACCAAGTACTACTCCTTCCTCACCTCTGTCTCCCTTTGCTCTGCTTCATACTTCCTTATTGCCGTAGCATCTTCAGACTGCTGTTTGCAAATAGCCTTGTCCTTTCCTTTTTCAAGTCTTTCTTAAAATCATTTGTACCAGTTCCCTGTGCTTATATTCCCCATTGCATTCAGACTGTCACAATTTTTTTCAAGTATGTATTTACGCTCTCCAGGATAAAGAATTGTTTCCTGTACTTGTTTAGATTAAAGAGTTTTGCATACACACAAACCAGGCAAAATATAATTTGTTTCAACAGTGTATTTATAAAAAAAAAAAAGTCTGTCTTAGACCATCCAGCTGCCTGCTGTTAATTTGCACAAGTGCTTGGTTCTGTGAGTGTACTTAATTTTTGCATGCACTGATTATTTTTAATGAAGCATGTATCTGTCCACAGTACTTGCATGTATATATAAAATACACAAAAATAAGCAACTACATGCTTAGTGCATGTGATGGGTGTGTTTGGCAACAAAGGTACTGCTGTAATGCACACAGTGCACTGCAAGGACCCTGAAACAGACACCAACTTGTGTAGGTGCATTTTGGTACTGTGTAGGGATGCTGACTCTGCTCTGATATCCCATTTAAGTTCTAGGTCTAGCCTGTGGGAAAACAGATCAGCTGCCTCTGCATCCCTGCTGCAGATGGGTGTAACAGTACTGAATTTGCTTCTGTTTTCATATTCTGGGAGCATGCATGGACTACTGAAAGGTTAAAAATGATGTTTCCCACATCCAGTTAATTTTCAGTTTTGAGTGCTACCAGATGCTTCCCAGGAGAGCAAAGGCACACTAAGTTTTATACGGCTTCCTGCAGTTAGTCATCTTCCCAAGAAGGTACTCTTTTCCAAACGTTATGTACTTAGTGTGTGTAGATTGCATTAAGAATACAGGACCATAAAGCTTCATCATCAGAAAGATATCTTAATTAGCCTTGATGTTATATAACATTGCAGACACCATACAGTTGCAGTACAATAGTGATAGGGCCTATAAACTGATTGTGTATTTTTGTAAGCTGTTTTTTGGTTTTTTTTTAATCATTTGAATTGTCATTGGGATGACTGGATATTAGATGAGGCTGTGTTGTGTGAAATAGCTCAGACTTTTCTAATTTCTTCTTTTTTTAGTGTATTTCCTACTTTGATTCTGTATCTTTTATCTCCATTTTGGAAAAACCTGCCACTTCCTTTCAAGTTTCTTAAGAGAAATCTTTTTATTTCAGATCTTCTTTACTTTCTTCTACTTCTAACATACTTTGACTGGAAGAGAGTCTGAACTGAGAAGCCAAGTGATATGTGTAATACAGTACTGATTCCATGCTATTTGTTACCTTCTTTCTGCTTATCAACAACTTCTGTTTTTTTATGTGACTCTTGAAGGTGCTGTAGCACTCATTATTTAGCTGTGTAAAACCTGTGCTACTATATTATTAGACCACAGCTTCTGAATTTACATTTGTTATGTATTTTCCCCAAACAAGCAGCATATTCCTGGAGAAATTTTTCTACTAGAGGGCAGTCTTACACTGGCAATTAGTTAGATTTTTTCCTTTGTACATCTTTTGCTGCTTGAAGATACTGAAAAAAGGGAGGAAGGGGAATAGTACACATTATTTTGAATTATTTTATTTTATTTTTGTGTTTTAATATTGAAATTGAATATTGTACTTTTCCTTCACATAGCATTGTTAGCATTGGAAGTGAATACTTTTAAAAAATGTCTGAGTCAGTGCTAAATGTAATGAGTTAAATCTGTATCAAAAAGATAGAATCAGAGGGGTTAGAAAGGAACTCTGGGGATCAAGTCCAGCCTACTGTATAAATATAGCATTGAGACACTCCACTGCATAGTGTAATATCATCCCAGCAAGTGTATATTAAGAAAGCCAGGGCATGAATCCTATAGGATTCATGTGAGCTTTTCTGCGCTACTCCGTGCTTCCCAGTGTCTTAGAGGAAACAAGTGATAATGTTTCAATTTCACTTTTAGTCATAGGGTATCATTCTGAGCTGTTTGAAATTTCATGATCCCTGACCCTTTATTTTACTACTAAGCTAATGTGAGGCTTGTTCAGATTACAGATTATCCTGTATATACTAGAGAAACACATCTTTCCCATACACTCTGGGCTATGTCTAGGTGGAAGGCAAAGTATTTCTTTTTCAGTTTGAGATTGGAAGCATTATGTGTCCATGGTGTATCATGAGGGAGGTATTTAGTCCAGGGAACCAAACCCTAAAAGATGGAAGCACAATTAATTCTATCATCTATTCCCATGAGGCAGTATTGCTGCTTTAAATAAATGATTTCAGTTTTTAGTTAAAACACTTCCAGTTTGGGATGCTTGTTTCTGTTGGCAAACTAACTTCATATTTTGCACAAAAAGCAAACTGGTTTTACAGAGAGATTTTTTGGTCAGTAATCCTACTACATGTTAAAAATAGTTTAAGGAGAACTTTACAGCCAACTGTAGTGTGAGCTTGGAGCAGTTCTGAGCTAAGAGTGAGCTGGCACAACTGCCCATCATGCCCTCAGGGATAAAAATTCACAGCAGGTTTTTTGTGTATGTACCAGAATGGGCAAGTGGAGTGGGGCTGGATAAGGAGATGCATTCAGAACAGTGGGGTATTTTTTTGTTCTTGTTTTCCCCTTCCACTATATAATACTTACTATGGTGAGTAATCCACAGGACAGTCCTCCCATTTCTCAGCATTTCAGTAATGAAATGAAGAATGCACAAGATAAAGTGCTGAATTCCTAACCTTGATAGAATTTGGACTTGAGGAAACTCCACTGTACAGGTGACTATATTCTTAATGAAATGGTTAAGAATTTGTTTGAACTTCACTACACGCTGTCTATGTTTATGGCATCAGCTTAAAACAAAAGTAATTTTTTATAATCAAGACTCTAAGAATATGCATTTCAAAGCAAGTTCTAAGTATTAGTGTTTTTTCAGTAATGAACCTCTTGCACTTTGAACAGCATGAACTTGTAGCGATGGCCGACATACATGTTGCCAAAAGAGACATTTTTCATTAGGTTTTGGATTTTGTAGTTCAGGGCAGCAATTAATAATTTCTTTTGGATTTGTGAATGGCAGTGCATGGTGTTCCTACTCCGATCTGTTTTCTCTGTCCTGCTGCCAATGTACAGCACCTTTGTGGAACAACCGGAACAGCAGAAAGTAAAAGGAGCTGCAGTCCACAGCCCTGTGCACAAATTTTAAATAATCAGTGTTTTGGGCAAACACTGTAATGGGATTCAGGTGGTGTCTGGACTGTATGCTGATCTGTCATGTAAGGGAATGAGAGGAATACATGTATTGTAGCTGTGGAGCAATTGCTATAATGTCTGCTGTCCTAAATTAAACCACAGACAGAAACATACAGATACTTTTTTTTTATTTTTTTTTAAATTATTTGACTGTTGTGAGATACAGGTTATGCTTTCATAGTATTTGATGTTTTGCAGTAGTATTGTCTGATTCCAGTTCCCTCCAAAATCCTCTATTTCTATGTCTGTATTACTCTACTCCTGTCTGACTTGCAGGGCAGCCCCACAAACATTTATTTCAGCAAAGCTGGGAGAAGATGCAGATTTAAGAAGAAACAGAGCAAAAGAGACTGGAATTATCATTTCCTGATCCTGCTGTCAAATACGTCATCACACAAAGACAAATTTTGTTACTCCTTAAATGTTTTACTAAACATGTTGTGATGAATTTTACAGAAAACTAAAGGTTATCTTGGGTATGGCTGGCTCCTTAATGCTTTTTCAGGCAAGTCTGAGCTTGTTCTGCCTAGAATTTGGTCTACCTTCTGACATGGGCTAATGGATAGCGAACACCACTACACGAGCATGGTTTCTACTCAAATCAGAGCAAGAGCACTGCGGAGTACACCTGTCTGAACAAGTCTGAGTAGAGAACCATGATTCTATGATTCTGTGTGAGATGCTGTGATTCTGAGAGCTGTACTGAAACACTTGCTGTTCTGATCAGGGGGTATGTAACTCCAGTACTATACAAGAAGCTTGTCAGAAGACTGGGAATATTTAGGCAGTGAATGTGTAGCATGGGTGGAATGTGGCTGGACCCACTTATGTCTACCTTCCTTGAGGACCTGTGTGCTGGTTTCCAAGCTGGCACAGGTACAAAAAGTCTGAGCTGTCTTATCTGTCAGCATGGTGGGCCTTACCTACCTATCGTGGAGGTAGGAACCACACCTTGGTACTAGCTAGGACCTTGGCCTAATGTCCAGTGAGAAAAGGATCTGTCACAGAAGTACCAGGTGCCATCTTGTGTAGCTTTCCTCTCCATAGTGGTAGGTCTATCATGTATCAATGATGTAACTCTCAAACACTTCTCTACACAGTCATTAAGAGATAAATTCAGTATCACATAATTGCATGGTCGAGAGTGTTCTGTAAGGAATGGAAAGTGGAAAAGACAAGTTCATCCTTTTGTTAGGTTTTTGAGTTAGAGTGTTTAAAAAAAATAGGCACAAGTTCACATGTATTTTCTAGGGTTGTACTGACATGGGTATTTCTCCATTTCAGTGGGAAAGTTCTATCTAGGAGAGTTAACTGTGCTTTACCTGCTGCTGTCAAGCCACTGGCTGCTCCTTCGCCTCGCTTGTGGTTGCAGCAGTATGACAGTCTCTTCTCTTTTCCTGCTGTCTCCCCAGGACTCAGATGGGATCAACCTGTACTACTGGTCCCTGTTTGATGGACATGCTGGGTCAGGCGCAGCTGTGGTCGCTTCCAAACTGCTGCAGCACCACATCCTGGAGCAGCTGCAGGAGATTGTGGACATCCTGAGGAACACGGCTGTTCTCCCACCCACCTGCCTGGGAGAGGAACCTGACAACACATCCACCAACAGCAGGACGCTGACACGGGCAGCCTCCCTGCGGGGTGGTGTGGGGGCCCCGGGCTCACCCAGCACCCCCCCGACACGCTTCTTTACTGAGAAGAAGATCCCACATGAGTGCCTGGTTATTGGGGCTATAGAAAGTGCATTCAAGGAAATGGTATGTATATCTTTAGGTTCTGAAGTCCACACTTCATATGTCCATCAGTCACATGGCCTGGGCAAAACAAACAGTAAGGAGTATATTTTTTTCCACTTTTTTTTTTCTACTTAAATAACTCTGTCCATATATAGATAGTGTTTAAGAGCCTCAAAAGCTTACTTGTTGCATTTGTGTGAGGCAAGGAATTGTTCTTGGGTCTGTGGAAGCTGCTGCCAAGCTCACTAGCACTCAAACAGGAGTGGTATCCTGAATCCCATTTGCACTTTTCTCTGCTAGAAGGACTCTTAGAAACTTGTTTGTTCTTTCCTCTCCTTTTTATTCTTTTTCTTTTCTTTTTAAGATTAAAAATCAGTGTTGCTTCACAATAGCAGATTTCAACTTTGGTTGTTACATCTGCATATACAGATGTGTGCCTTAGAAAGCCTCTTTGCTCTATGAAAGTAGCAGCAAAGGCACCTCAGCACCCTAGCTTCCTTGATCTGTTGACCTGCAGTTCTTGTTAGCATTAGGGTGGCTCATAAGACAGTGTCTGTGGGGAATGTATACAACTCTTGAGTGAGGTCGCTTGGTTGTGGGTGAGTGGGGCATGAGGGATGTTCCTGTCACCCACTTGATTTGTGTACAGCAAGAACATCTGGGAAAAGATCAGGGTCCTGTGGAAACAGAATATTCTCAAATTTCCCCATTGGAAGCTGTTTTCTCTTTGAGTTTTTATAATTGATACAGTTGCTCTGCACTTCCCCATTCAGGCCTTATCAGTCTTAAAGATAATTCTAGTCAGGCAGAGCAGAGACTTGGTCTGTCAGCAAGTACATCTGGGATCAGGTCTTGAGAGATGTCTTTTCTCTCTCTTTTTTTTTTTTAAGCCGCTTTTTTGAGCAGAAGGTTTTTGAACTAATGAACATTTCCCAGAGGTTTTATTTGTTGCCTGAAAAGAAGTACAAAGGCAGGATTCAATCATAGCTTATTCTGATATATATGAATTTTGTTTAGTACATGCATCTAATTAGGAACTTCAAATGTTGTAACAAAGTGATCTTTCACTTTGAATTCAGAGTAGCAATTATCTTGCAGAATTGTCCTTTCTTCCCAAGGATGTGCAGGCAAACATACTCACAAATTGAGTTGTCCATGAGTAAATCTACAGCCATGGTTCAGTGTGGGACCTGAGAGCATATTAATGCACTGCAGCAACTGGGCTGAGTTTCTGCTAGCTGCAAGCAAAGAAGACGTGTGAAAATCTCCTGTCAGTTTAGCACTCCCCCTTCAGAAAGGAAGAACTAGCTTGTTCCCTCTTCTGTTGAAGGAGGAAAGAGATGATACTGCCTGTCTGCTGTACCCTAGTATTTGGCTGGGGATTTTCCTGAAAGCTTGTTTCTTAGAGCAGTGGAAAAGCTATAATAGAGGAGAATAGTAGAAACCCTGAATAACTTATTACAGATGTGATGTCTGGTTATTCCAGACATGGATTATAGTAATCTGTCCTCCCTTTTTCCAAACTGTGGAGAGTATCATAGAATCATAGAATGGCCTGGGTTGAAAAGGACCACAATGATCATGGAGTTTCAACCCCCCTGCTGTGTGCAGGGCCACCAACCACCAGACCAGGCTGCCAAGAGCCACATCCAGCCTGGCCTTGAATGCCTCCAGGGATGGGGCATCCACAGCCTCCTTGGACAACCTGTATCTTGTTTTCCTCCCTGTGCCTTTGACTGTACTCTACAGATCAGAATAGTTATTTAATTCCTACTTTTACTTGGCTATATAAATGACTGTTAGTATGACTATCATAATGCAGTACACTCCTGGCATTATCTTTTGGTTTAAAAGGAAGTATAATGATAATAATAATAGAAGTGAGATTAAGAAAAGCATTAGGTAATTGTATCTATCTTAAACTCTAGGTGGTGTCTTGTGTTCGTACGTGGTTTAGGGACAAGACTATATTCTTTTGCATAAATGTCTGCCTAAGGGTTCTGCGGTTCATAAGATCAGCACTCATGAATTTCATCTGTGCCTGCAGTGATTCATCCCACCCCTCTCTGACTTCCTGCTGGCTTATGCTCCTAGCAGTCTGTGTAAGAAGACTTTGGGCCTCCTCCGCAGTACGTTGTTTGTCTATTGCTGCTTTGTATTGGAACATCGTGGATATTGTTGAGGTAGTTCAGTGCAGTTAAAACTTGCATAATTTTCAAGGGTTTCATGCAAGCGGTGTGTATCATTTTACCAAGCACTTGGTGAAAGCTCATGTTCCTGGACACATAGGCAGACATCTTGGTGTTGTTTCCTAAACGTCTAGTACTGAAAGGAGCCCTTTGAACCTGGTGAAAGTGTTGGATAGATAAAGATACTTTTTTTTTTAATTGAACAATTGAACCTGACAGGTTTATCTACTGAAGGTTTTGTTCCCTTTTATCAGGAGATTTTTTTTTTTTTGTACCTTTTCTTTCTTCCCCAAATGTCTTTTGAATTCTTGTTAAGCTCTCCCTATTCCAACCTCGATTGTCAAATAAAATGCTATTTATCAAATGGCTCTTAAAAATTATTCTTCTTGTCAGGTGTGATTTTCTTTTGGACATTGCCTGTCTTACAGCTATGTGCTTTAAAACACTGTAGGAAGCTGATACAGGTCATGTCATTGCCTAACTTAAAAAGTTCAGGAATAAAGACGCTCCCCTTTTTGAAGCACCACTAGAGAGCGTTCTCTGTGTTGAAACTGGGACTAGAAAGCTTTTGTGATGTGTTTTCACTGTTCTATTTAATATTAACGCTTAATGTCAATAATTGTCAGTGACCACAATTACTTGAATGAAAATAAATTAGCTTAAGTTTTGGAGTTGTTCCAAGTCAAATCCTCTAATTTTCATCTCTTGAGTTTTGAGATGTGTATGTAGAGATTCAGGAGCTGAGTGGATGCTTCCAAATAGTCTTCATTACTGGATAGAAGCATTAAACTAAATCCCTTCCTTGAATTTAACCTTTTGTGCATGAGAGCAATTTAGTATTTAATTTAAATACCTCGGACAGGAAGCACCTATTCTACACTAAACCCTCTTTATCTTGGATGGGAAAAAATGGCACATACCTAGGCTGTGTGATTTACTGGAAGACAGTGGTGTCTGCTGTATCAAGCTTTTTCTTCTTTTTCGAGGTTCTTTTGATTCAAATCTAAACAGATACTTTCACAAAATGCTTCAAACTCAAATGGCATCAATCTTCAGAGACTAACACATTGTATGGTTTTCCTTTTTCAAAGAAACTTCCTCTAAATAGCCATTAGAAATAAAGGGGCTTGCAGCTGTGATACAGTCATTTAGATGCCTCTTTGACTGAGCTAAAGCAATTTAAAGAGTTAATTTTGACTTTATGTCTTCTGAAACATGATTTTTAGTTTAAAAAAAAAAAAAAAGTTAATGGATATCCTGTGTGTAGGAGGTAAAGTTACTTGCTGTAAAGCAAGCTACAACTACCAGAGGACCTATTCTGAGGATGGATGCAGCTGAAGAATAGTTATTGTAGTTCTTAGTGCAGTATGATGACTGGTTGTAATGATGATACTGTGGTTTGATCAGTTTACCTATGTCTGTTTTCAAGATCCTGAACTTTTAAAATTTGACATCAGATGCAGCTGGCACACACTTCTCTGCACTCTCACTTGCTTCTCCCATCCTCTAACCCTGCCCGTGCAGCAGCCTGCATGTATGAGCCAGCCAGGGCAGAGCTGCCGGTGGCTCCTGCCCGCAGCCCAAGACGTGCCGCACGCACGCTGATGGAAAACGCTGGAAGGAAGGACGAGGCCGGGAGCCCTGCAGCACGCCAGGCCGCTGCCCACGCCACGCTTACAGAGGCACCAGAGGCGCTCTGGCAGATCTCCACGAGGTGGCATGAGCAAGCTGCTGTGAGCCTCGGGATGAGCAAACAATGCTGCCTTCGTGGCGCAGTCAACTTCTGTTTTTAGAAAAGGGCTATAAGCTAGCGTGACAAACGAGTGTTTTTGCTCGGGAAAGCTCAGGTCCAAGCCTTAGCTTGCCCCTGTGCTCCATCCCCTGGGAGGGCTGGGCATAAGGCAACTCTTGTGGGTGCCCTGCTCCTGCCTGCTGCAACATTCCCCATCCTCAGTAGGGGGCAGAGCACAGATTATTTCCCTCCTTGGTATAAACGTCACCCTTTTTAGCAGAGGATACAGAAATCCTTTTTTTTCTCTATTTATTTTTTTTTTAAGACCATTTTGCAGATGTTAGGAAGGTGTTATCACAGCTACTAATGAGTCCTCTAATTCTTCACCCTTCATTCTCCAGCCTGCAGTTCATACTCATTTTCCACTTGTTGAGTGAAGTTTTTTAGCTCTGTCAAGATCTGAGAGTGTGCCCCATACTGCCCTTTGGACTGAAAGAGAGATCATCTTATCATCACAGAATCATAGAATGGCCTGGGTTGAAAAGGACCACGATGATCATGGAGTTTCAACCCCCCTGCTGTGTGCAGGGTCACCAACCACCAGACCAGGCTGCCCAGAGCCACATCCAGCCCGGCCTTGAATGCCTCTGGGGATGGGGCATCCACAGCCTCCTTGGGCAACCTGTTCCAGTGTGTCACCACTCTCTGAGTGAAAAACTTCCTCCTAATATCTAACCTAAACCTCCCCTGTCTCAGTTTAAAACCATTCTCTCTTGTCCTATCACCATCCACCCTCATAAACAGCTGTTCCCCCTCCTGTTCATATGCTCTCTTCAAGTACTGGAAGGCTACAATGAGATCTCCCCTGAGCCTTCTCTTCTCCAACCTAAACAGGCCCAGTTCCCTCAACCTTTCCTCACAGGAGAGGTGCTCCAGCCCTCTGATCATCTTAGTGCCCTCCTTTGGACCCACTCCAAGAGCTCCACATCCTTCCTGCACTGGGGGCCCCACGCCTGGACGCAGTGCTGCAGATGGGGCCTCACAAGAGCTGAGCAGAGGGGGACAAACACCTCCCTCTCCCTGCTGGCCACCCCTTTTCTAATGCAGTCCTGAACACAGTTGGCCTCCCCTGTCTTAGTTTAAAACCATTCCCCCTTGTCATATCACTAACCCATGTAAACAGTCATTCCCCCTTCAAGTTCTAGAAGTATGATTCAACCCAGTTTTGCTCATCTCTTCCTCTACAAGCAGATTGCTATATAGAAATGTTTTGCATCCTACGGAAAAGGAGATGGGGGAAGAGAAAAAAAGGTTGCTCTGAAATCTTTCCCCAGATGGGAAATTAGGAAAATTTTGTATGTACTTAGCCTTCATCTAGAACTCTTTACACCCCTAAAGGTTTCAGAGGTGTTCTGCATCTCTTTGTGCTGCACCCCTTTCCCAGCAGCACTGATGAAACGTATTTCATTAAAAACCGATATCTCTACGTCAGAATGAGTTAGTAGTAATGGTGGGCTTCATTTTGTTTTATCTTTTCCCCTCAAATTTTGTTGAGATATAGGAAACCTCTTTCAGCACCGAAGATCTAGTTTAAGTTAAGCAAACTCTGAGAATGAGGCCCTAAGGATTATTCTCCATCCCATAATAAACGCTTCTGAGTTCTTATTGAAGGGAATAGATTTTAATATAGGCATTCCAGCACTCATGAAGTGTGCATGTGACAGGGCTGAAATCAGGTGAGGAATTGTACTTTGTTTCAAGGTCTCAGAGGATGCTCCGAGCAGCGGAGATGAAGCTATTTTAAAATTCCTGGCGGTGCCTGGAAAATCCACTGTAGTATTTGTAAGTTTAAATTATTTTGATGGTTAGAAACATCTGCTTCCTTTGAACTGCTCTTTTCAGCTTAATTTAAAAATATATGGAAACCACGGGGAGGAAAATCAGCTTCTCTATGGCAAGATTAGATAAAGTGGCATTTGCAACAAGCCCATGTCTGTGACCAAAGGCTCTGCAAGATTTGATTTTAGCTTTGAGGTGTTTTCCTCCTGGCCTTTACCACAGCCTACCTACCAAAAAAATAAAAATTAAAAAGGAGATAAATTAAGGGAAAAAAAAAATACTTGCACTGAGTAGCAAGAGCCACAACAAAACCCAGTGTCTGCGGCAGAGCAGCTTGCAGTTCCTCTGTGTGGCAGATGATGGCCATGTTGGTTAGCGCTGTGCACCTCTACTGTCCCCACTGCTCTCCTCGTTGTTGTGTTGATGGCACAAATAAGATCAGGCTGTTTGCACTCTGGCCTGCACAGAGTCACATTCTTTGTGACAGGTGCTATTAGTAATAGGAGCACTCCCCATCCAGATCGCTTGGGACAGTCGCTGAGCACTGCTGAGCATCCCCGCTTCTGTCCTGGATCACCTCCCTCTTCAGAATTGTATAGGAAACAACGAGCCAGAATTGTGTAGGAAACAACGAGCAGTCCCTGGCTTGCCTTGGTGCTGCAGGTTTCCAAGCAAATTGCAGCTGTTATAGTTAGCATTTGTTGTGGTTCTTTTGCTTGGATAAACAAAGCTCTGAAATAAAGCCCTAAATCCCATACCCCAAGGCATGGACAATTTGAGCTGTTTGTTGCTTAATGCAAGTAATGAAGTACAGCACACAGAGAGGCAAGGTTTAGCTGAAAAGATCTTCTAGTTACTTGCAATAGCTATGTTAGCTGACACTCCCTGTTTGAATCTAGTATTACAGGGAAAGACCAGTTTGATATTAGGTTGGATTCTGGACTCAGGAGAGGCGGGCGACTTTAACATGTTGGGTTATTACCAGAAGCTAAGCTACGAGGCAGCAGAGTGAGTTCACTGACATACAATTAGTTTTTTGAAGATGCATGGAATACTGGGAAGTAGCTCATTTACCTTTTTTTATTTCATGGTCTCTTTCTTGGGATAATATATACTGCTGGGCTTGACTGATTGTCAGTGACAGATGTGACTTGTGTTCTCCACATCTATTAAGCAGGGGGGCTTTTTATATTTATATGGTATTTTATGTAGTATTTCTTATTAAATTCAGAATCAGTTGGAAGTTTAACATGGGAAGAACGATTGAGTAGGTACATACCTCTCTAAATTGGTGCACGTTCACCAATTCTTTCCAGGGCCTCATGAAATCAGTGAGACAAGATACAGCCTTACATACTGTGGCTCATACTGGCAATTCTGTGAATGCCTAGTACTAATATTCTTTCTTTGTTCTACTGATGTTGTTCTATTTCACACTGTTTTTTTTTTTTGTTAACTAGTTTAGCATCACTGCCTTCTGTATTTCTGAAGGGTAGCCCTCTTGCATGAGTGCATCTTGCTGCTGTTTGCAAAGGTGTACGCTCCACAATCCTAGCCTTCGCTTTGGAGACCAGATAGTTATTCATGTCATAGCTAGGTCTCATTAATTATTTGCTGTCTATGTAAAGTGCTCTCCAATTATACCACCAGGTATGTGTTGTTCAGCTACATTTATCTTTGCTGCCTTTGTGCTTTTTCCGTAGCAAAATCTCTTGCATCCCTCAGCATTGCCCTTTATTCCATGATGCCTGATGTTTTACAGTCCTGTCCTGTTTTGTCCCCAGCTTTGTATCATAAGCAGTTGGTACTCCAAGACTTTCTATTCTTTCTGAGCATATAGCCAGAATTGAAATAGAAAAGAAAGCTAGTGGGACTTGCAGTTGAAGAAAATTGTAATTTTTGGGGGGAATCTTCATTTTCTAAAGTATTAAGTACAATGCTGTCTTATTTTAATACATTTTATTTTCTTTTCCTATAGGATTTGCAAATAGAACGAGAGAGGACCGTGTATAATATTTCTGGTGGCTGCACAGCCCTTGTGGTTGTGTATTTATTGGGGAAGCTTTACGTGGCAAATGCTGGTGATAGCAGGTGAGTGTGATGTCTCTTCTACTCCCACACCGAAACTCCCAAGATCTGGTGTTACCAAGTTCCTTAGTGGCAAATAGCATCACCAGGAGGTTCTGTTTTTTGGCTGGGCTCTTAACAGTTCTCACTAAAATTAATGCAAAATTAATGCAGTAGTGATGGACTTCCAGTGTCTAGTTGAGTGGTGGATGCACTCAAGGTGACTGACTCATCTTTTCTTTCTTGTTGCTATCTCTGAATGAGTTGATGGTGGCAGAGAAGTGAAAAGACACTATGAAGAGCCTTTGAAACAGGGGTAGTAGAATTGTATGCTGAACACTGTTTGATGGGGGACTACATCTGGAACTGCTGATCCTGAGGGTGCTGTCCCTAGGTCTAGCCTTGGAAACCCACCTGGCTATCAGATTTTAATATAATTGAAAATGGTATTGAGAGTATAGTAAATATACTGCAGGGGGATGGAGAGGCTATCCAAAAGTTAGGAATTTTACTGTGTCCTGCTCTGACTCATGTACTTGCCTGTTTCTCAGAACTGAATGCTGTAGTTCAAGAATTGTTAATTTGTTTCAGTTAGAAGTTGGATGCTTTACATCTCATTATGAGAAGCTCCTTTTTCTTCTGACTTAGCTAAAACTAGGAACATGCTGGGAGCCTCTCACTTGCATTCCTTCCTTCTCTCTCATTCTTTGCCCATACCACTGCCAGAGAGAACGAGGCTGTTCTTGCAAGACTTCATACCTTTGCATGTTTCTTCTGGCAGTGCTCTGCATAAACAGGCCAGCAGAGCGTAGTTCTCTGCGTGACACAGACTGCATTTGGGTTCAGTCAGTAGCTGTGTAATTGAAGTCTGTACAGATACTGAACAGTGTTGTCTTTTGATGAAGACACTACAGTTACATGTTTTCATTGTTTGGGTTTTGTGTGCACACAGTTCATGTTTCATTCTGTATTCACAGAGACAGCACTCAAGTCTTTTGCTGCATTGAAATGTGTAGGAAGACAAATCCACTGCGCATAAAGTGCTTTGCTTTCCATTGTTAGTGATCTTAATTTGCTGAACTTGCTACATGTGTTGTAAATTGCTCACCAAGTTCCTCTTGATAAGTGACATTCAAATCTTTTTCCTTCAACTGGCAAATGAATGAGTCCTTGCAGATGAGTCCTTGCAGAGTGTACCTGGAAACAAGTTGGAGTTGACCATCTGTCCACTCCTCAGAACCACTAACTGTGTTGCATTTTACCTCTCTTCCATCAGATTAGAAGTAATCGTGTTTTCCTTTACTACTGTGCTTTGAAATACAGTTGAGTCTCTTCCATAGAGTTAGCTAATTGCTTTGTTCCTTATTTGTGTAGTGCAAAACTGGCCATGCAGGACTTGCTTCTGAGGGCTGAGGTCTTTAGTCTTAAATTACTGGCTGCTTGCAGTTCCCCCAGGATCTTCCTTCAGCTTCCTGAGAGCAGCCTCAGCTCCATTGAATCCTGTGGATTCTCACGGGAATAAACTTTTATTGGTGGTGATCTTGAAATAGTCCCAGTGTCCACCTTAGTTAAAACCACTCAGAGGCTTTGAATATTCATTGAACCCATCCAAAACATTTTTTTGTTTTAGAAAAAGAGGAAAAGAAGAAAGCCACTGGCAAGGCTGAGTAATCTTTGAACTAAGGCTAAAGTTCTTGTACTCGTTCCTCAGATCCCTATAGGTAACAGAGATCCAAACAGTTTGGTTTTCCGCTTTCCAAATGGACCTCGTGGAAGCCTTACTCATGCTGAGGAGAATTCTCAGAATTTCCAAAATCTTTCATTTTCACAAGGGCCTGCTTATAGATTTTCCAAGCTGAATAAAATATTTTTAAGAGAAGTTTTAAAGTGTAGAAGTCTGGTTGATCTGAGTCTCTCACTGCTTCTCATATTTCAGGATGAGGGTAAGAGGGGGGCCTGCAGTTACTGTGAACCATCCAAGTTGCTTCTCATTCCTAAAATGACATTTTAGGACTAGAAAAGCAGCTCTGAGCTTGTCTGCCTACTTCCAGGGCGCACAGTGCATTGTATTTTTAAGGGCCAAGTCACGTAGCCAAGAAGTTCCTTATTTGTGTTAGTAGAAAAATATGTGCATTTTTACTGTCTCATGCCTTGCATTGTCAACTTTTTGTTTTGCACAGATACAAATGAGAATACTGAGAAATGTAATGAGGAACTATTAAACAAAATGTTTACATGTTTTTTAGGAGAAGAGTGGGATTTGTTGTTTTTTTTTTTTTTCCAAATATGCGCCTCATGTTTGTTGCTTTTGGAAGTAGATGCCAAAACCCTCAGTACTTCAGGGGAGTTCTGGTTTCCTCGAGTTCACCAACTCACTTATGCCTCTTCTGTCCTCAGTCTCCTACCTTCTCCACCCACGTGCTAGAATAAATTTCTAAAAAATAACTGCAGTTAACTAATCTATGGGAGTTTTCATGCTGCAGCATCGGCAATTGTTTACACAATCCTTATTGGTATAGCCTCTGCCCAAAAGAGGGCTTAGGCTTTGAAGTTACCTGGAATTAGAAACAACAGAAGCTTGTAGATGTGGGTTTTGAACAGCTACTGCTGTCAAAGGACCAAGGTACATACAACAAACTGTTACTGTCACAATGAGACTGAGGAAACTGGAAGTGTGAGACTTGAATAATAATGTGCTATGTGGTGCCAGCTATACCTCAGACTTATGCCTGTGGTATTCAGTTTAACCACTAAAGCTTCTCAAATCTAATCATTTCATGCCACGTACCCTGGCACTGTTGTATAGCAGCTGTCCTTTTGTAGTTGATGTGTAATTACATCATGAAAAGACTTTAATTACCATATTACTAAATTACCAGCCAGCAATTCTTTCAGGTTCAGCCCTAGCTCACTTCTGTAGGGACTATTAGGCTTCTTCAAGCTGAACACTTTTGGTTGGTGTAAAAAGGAGAAAAATTGTGCTAATTGTACGTTTTGTTATGAACCATTATTGAGCTTGATGTTATGGCATCACTAATGTCAATGATACAATTAAACTTATGCTAACGATGCAATCGCATTTCTGTAATAATTATACGTTAAAAGCACATGATACCAGAATCCTACTAAAAATTAGGTAATGTCTTCAGAGCCTGATAGAAACAACTTGGAGGGAGCTGATTGCGTTTTCTAATGGCTTGCTAATCATTCTTGGAATCTGCCATAAATATACCTACTTGTAGAGTCAAAATTTATGTCTGCATGTTGGCCAAAGCTTTTAAATGCCACCCTCTCTCTTGCCACCTCTCAGTGGTTAGCATTGTCTGTGCAAGGACTGATAGTGCTGTAGTGGGCCATCTGATGCACGGCATTTATATTTTGCCTACCAGATTGATATATACGCCGTGGTTACTACCCTGTGCCAGACACTCTGAATATCTAGGGCTTCTTTGGTCTTTTTGTTGTTTATTGATTGGTTTATTTTTTTTAATAAGGAACGGTAAATCTTCTCTGCTGATTCTTTTAAACAGTATTGCTCAGTTTTATATTGCTAAAGTGACTTTTACTTCTAAATTGTCATAACACGCCTTGTTAATCTCAGTTCTTCCAGTTTTATGTTCTTTATTAGTATGTTGTTTTATAGCTAGTGATGAAGCAGTATAAAACAAGAGCTTAAAATGTTTTTACTGATTACTGCCCATTACTGTATAGCCTCATGCAACATAACATTTACCCAATATCACTCCAATGACTCTAATGCAGTATGATCATATTAACTGTCTTTGGCACAAGCATTCTTCTGGCTCTCATGTTGTCTGGCTGAGGAGCTGCTCAGCAACTGCAGGCACTGCCATTTTGTGCTGTGTTTGGAGCCATTTGGGTTAGCAGTGTTTTTATCATTATATAGGATGCAGCACATCACAAGGTGATTTAACTTTGTCATAGATCCTGAAATACTTCCCTGAAATACTTGCTAAATCTTCAAATGGATTCTTGGACTTTTTTGATTTATTGGCAGAAGATGGCATCAGAGAAAAGAGCCTAATGTTTTGGAAGGTTCACAATCTTAGAGGGTCACTGGATTTTTTTATTTGCTTCATCAGCCTTTTTTTTTTTTTTTTTTTTTTTAAATGTATATCATTTTTTGCATCCCTGCTTTTTGCCCCCATGTGCTGCTGTTTTCAGGGCATATTCACCCTCTGTTTGAAGATATATCATCATATCCAGAACAGACTCCTTTTTGCAAGTGTAGAATTCATACTAAAGCATTTGGGATTGTTAAGTGATAGGGGCTCTCTAAGTGGATGTATCTGTGGCAGTTTCACATGGGTGCAGGTTAAGCAACGTCACTGGAGTTCAATTGTCCTTATGTGTGTACAACACTGATTTCTTCCAGTCTAATATAATAGTGCATTGAAAATTGAATTCTGCTTTGTTTACTGTTTCCATTCTTTCTGGATTGGCAGCCTGTGTTGAATTTCACTTATATACTTGCTCTGTGTCATAGAGCTAGTTAACTGCTTATCTCATAAGTGGTTCTTTTTGTAGAGACTAAAATTTGGGAAATCATGTATTACTATGAAGCAAATGAGAGAGGCATGGAAACAGCTCTGTATTTGCTGACTGGCACTGTAGTTGAAATAGAATTTTTGAGAAATCAGAGTTGAAGATTCTGACTCATTTTTGTGGTTTGTGGTATCTGACCTCTTCCTCCAGGCAGTCCAACAGGGCGATTTTAGCCAGAAGCCCAAACACTGCAAGGGTGGAAACCAGGCAATGCTCTAGTGTATTACAGTTATAGAGTTGGTTTGTTTCGGTATTTGTTTTACAATATTTTTAAAGAAACTTTAATTTTCTAATTTTTCTTAACTGTTTTCTAATCTATATTGTGTGGGATTTTTGCTTGCTTGTTTGGGTTGGGGTTTTTTTGCCTTTTTTTTTTTTTTTTTTTTTTTAAAGTGGTCTGGTTAAGCTCTTTTGTCTCCTTGAATCTGTATCTGCATAAACAACAATAATTGTGTTTT